CATCTAGAACTTGCATATTTTTTTAACTTCTTTAATTCTTTAACTATTTCTTTATATCTAAAACTAATACTTTCCTAAAAGTGCTCATTGATCTTTAAATAAGTTTTTTGTTTTAAAATTATCTATTCACTCACAAACAGTTTAGCTATAATCTACTTCCACTGATGTATAGTGATGCTTATATTAACTAAACTCTTAATACACCAATTGCCAACATAACAACCCAGATGTGGAGCACCAGCGTCCATGTTGTGGTGTCAGCTTTCAGACGGGAAGACGAATTATCTGAATATAAAGAAAAATATACAGGTATAAAATAGAGTGAGAGATTTTCATGAAACAAATATATTATTTTCATTTTGTGATATCAGAATAATTATGTAATGGATGAAGTAAATGAGTTCAAATATCTTGGTATAATAATAGATCACAAGTTAAATTGTCATAGTACTCTTCGGCACCATTTTAAGACAGGCTAACAAAGATTATACCGTACCTTATGAACAAATTAAACGAACTTAAAGTCAACAATGAAATCCATATCATATGTTTTAGATCCAATATACTTACTGTTATTTCATTCTCCAGTATTGTTTGGAGCATGTAAGATAAATGTAAGAGAGTTACTATACGGGCTTGTAAAATAATGAGCATAAAACATAAACTTGAATTTAGCGATAATTCTAGCCTTAAAACTGTCTTAAAAAAGCGCTCCAAAAAGGACAATTACACCAACAGCTGAATCGGTAAGAAGAACAACACATCAATTCATGCAAATAAAAAAAAATCCAAAATATTTGATTAGGAATTTCAAATAAATATTCTAAACTATAATTACCGTAAAATTGCATCAATTATAATATTAATTTATCAATATAAATTTCAAAGGAATTGTTAGAATTTAAATAGAAAGATCAATACAAAAGACAAAACAGCAAATGTTCTATTATATTTTTTAACAGCAAAAAGCCAGTACATAAAAATAAATCTTAAAATGAGTTATAGCGATATTAATTTAGTTTTATATATATTGCATTCAATGTGCGTATAAATACTACAAAAATAGATGCATAAACAGAAGTAATAACATTATTACACAAATAATAGCACCTATCTAAGCAAAAGAAATGACTTGACACCTGTGCTGGGAGATGTTAGAAAGAAGTTTAGCTATTTGAAGAGGAAGGATTAAAGATTGAAATTAAATAATTCAGGATCAGAGATGATACGTAATAACTTGATAATTGTCACCCGCACTGGAATAATGTCTACCTCACGGGACGGAGAGACGTGGCGTTCTGTAGAGCCGGCCCTGTGGTGGCCTCAGTCTACCACTACTTTCAATATAACAGTTGGCAACTTACATAAACCAATATCAAACGGGCCTCCCTTCACAACCGTTCGTGGTAGATTGAGTCCACCACGGCTAACGCACACCAAACCATCCTCCCTGCCCTCCTCACCAGTCTATCCCATCCCAGCTAATTTATTTACATCCCCACCCCATGTCAGTAAGCAATACACACAGACACAACCAACTACTGACACTGAATAAATACAATTTGTATAAACGATACATACGTGAATTTGTAGTTTCTTTGTCACAGTGAGAGTGTTGCCTCACAAGCAGCAGAGTTCAATGTTTTAGAAAGTGTCTGACGCTGGTAGTTATAGTGAACCATTGAGGCAATGCATTACAGAAGTCAAGTTTAGATGAAATTAAGGCAAGAACAAGAGAAGAAACAGCGATAGAAGATGAGATATAAGGTATTATACGGCGAAGATGAAAGTAACCAGATCGGCGGTCAGATGAAATATAGCTAGGCCTACTGAAATCAATATGTTTGTCAAGGCATCACTAAAAAGTCACTATTATTAATTAAGTGAATTTCTAAAAGTTTTATCAGATAACTCACAAAACAACCTTAAAACATGAAGTTTAATTTTTAACATATCATCAACATAATTAGAGTATTCTTCATATTAGTTTATTTATTTTTTTTATATTTGTGTATTGTATTTTGTTTTTCTTTTGGTAGCCTGATTGTATGTTGTTTATTGCAGGACCATGCTGTTGTAAAACATCGTTACTACCTCGCCTGAATATAGTGTCCTGCACAAATAATAAATAATTAAATAAAATATTACAGAGGTAGATCCAGGATTTTGAAATAGAGGGGGCCCAGGGAGGGACTTTCAGAGATCGTGAATGTAGACCACCTCAGCCCCACCATATTTGGGGCTGAGGTAAGAACATTTATGAATATGACAACAGACGGCCGGATATGGCACTCTCAGAACTACATTTGGTTGTAATTTTGTCCCCAATATTTTTCTAAATAATTTTGAAAAATTACGAGGAGGTGGGGTGGGGGATGCCTGCTCGGCTCCCCCTTGGATCCACTAATGTATTGCAATACATAAATGTATCGATTTATCAACTACAAACACAGGGTATTATAATAGATGTAAAATAATTATTCTAAAAGTAATATCCATTTTTTTGCCAACCGGGTGTACACCATTTGTGATATAGATGTGGATAGAGATACCAGTAAATAAATCAAATTTAGACTTATAATAAATACAAAGTAAACATTATCGTCTGTAAACTTACTAATAACATTTCCGACGTGGTACAAAGAAATTGTTCCACTAGCTCGACCAGTTACCATCAACATAGGACTATTATTAGGACTATCTTTGGCATCGAGGAACCTATGGAAATACATCATGTTAGAATAGATACTTTTATATCATACTTACTCTTTCTTTATAAATTCATTAATACTAAATGATTCATATTAACAATTGTGCTAATCAAATAAATGACTACGGTATACATATGTGGCAAAGACAAGCCAAACCAGTCACTCGTCGCAAATCGTGTTTCAGAGAAAATGGCCAAAACATGCTAAAATGTCAAATTTAAAAAAAATCTATTTTATTTCACTAAACTAAACTTGATATATCTACACACCATCCTATGCTGTTATTTTCCCCATTTTCAATGTTAAAACAACACTTTTTAAGGATTTAAAGATAGTTTCTGCATGAGAAATGCCTGAAATTATAAACTTTAAATTTCTCATATATTGTTCTTTAAACAGCTGTGTGGTTAAACGCTTGTAACTTCATAAGGAAATGTCCGATTTGAATGATTTTTTTACCATTTTATAGCTATTAATTTGCTCTCTAACACATTAATTATTAATAACACAAAATCGATTTTTGCGACGAGTGACTGGTTTGGCTTGTCTTTGCCACATATACAACTTAATTTACGTGATTATTTATAACAAAGAGTAGGGTCCTGGGTGTGATGTGTATACACTTGATTCAGAAGAGACTATCTCAAATTGTTATAGCCTAGGCTAATTTGAGCCCAAAGAACAACTTGGGATGCGTGTCAGAATCTGTATCCTGGACGAAAAGCCTAAATGATCTCACATTTAAACAACAAAAAAAGAATAAATAAAATAAATTGAAACTGTTTTTTAGTAAACTCACATCATATCACTAGGTCGAAGGTCTCCCATCTCCATGTTCTTGTAAAGTTCCTGGAACGTCTTGTCCAAACGTCCACCACGGAAAATCGATTCAAATACAGGCTTAGTGCTACCTGCTGGAAGGCTGTAGACCATGATCGTAGAAACACGGTCAATAGCAATGAATATGAGGCGTTTTCCTTGAGCCTCACCCATTACAATCGATTCACACTCAACGCCCTGAAGAAAAAATAACATTTAATATAATAAGTGTAGAAAATAATGGTAGGCCTAGTGGTAGTAATTTGTGAATAGAAGTAGTGGTAGTAATTATAATAATAACAGGGGTCCCAGGTTGTGCAAGTCAAATTCCTGGAGAGGTTTTCAACGGGTATACGAGCGTGCAAGTGCACACAAGTAGGCTACAAACTATAGGTTTCGGTCGCTTTTAATACGTTATTGTCGCATAGAATGTTATTAAATATTATGTCTGCCTTATTGTCTGCAATACAATGGGAAATACAATTGGAAAATTTTCTTAGCATAGGATCTACGTGTTACCTTGTTATCTGACCTGACGTCCTTTAGATCAGTCGGTCTGTTATTCGTTGGGCTCCTAGTAGTACTGTCAGCATTAAATATAGAATTAAAATACTGCTTGTGTTTTAAGGCAACCTCATCTCCACTGTCGTATACTTGATGCATGTCACTGGCGCGCCATATAGAGAACCCTCTCCCACCATAGAAGAATACAGTTTTAATTTTTCCCTGTTCATCCAAGCCGTCGATTTGGCTGATTTCAAGCTGACCTTTGGCCAAGAAGAAACAAAAATATACGGAATACATTAATTTATTTTGTTATTAGAATAATTAGATACTGTTTCTCTCGATCTAGACCATGGAGGTCTGTTTGATATATAATTTTGCCAAGGAAACTTTTCCAAACAACTGGATATATACCGATAT